GCAAGCTCCTTGTCTTGGCATTTTATTTCCCAAGGGCTTAGGGAAGGACTTGTCCTCGGAACAGGACTTGTATCCCTGTACTCGGCTCTGGTGAGGCTGCACCTCGAGTACTGTGTTCAGTTTTGGGCCCCTCGCTACAAGAAGGCCATGGAGGTGCTCGAGAGGGTCCAGAGAAGGGCGACGAAGCTGGTGAGGGGCCTGGAGAACAAGTCCTACGAGGAGCGGCTGAGGGAGCTGGGATTGTTCAGCCTGGAGAAAAGGAGGCTCAGGGGCGACCTTATTGCTCTCTACAGATACCTTAAAGGAGGCTGTAGCGAGGTGGGGGTTGGCCTGTTCTCCCACATGCCTGGTGACAGGACGAGGGGGAATGGGCTAAAGTTGCACCAGGGGAGGTTTAGGTTGGATGTTAGGAAGATGTAGAGCTCAGTGATATGGTTTAGTGGGGACTGTTAGTGTTAGGTCAGAGGTTGGACTGGCTGATCTTGAGGTCTCTTCCAACCTAGACAATTCTGTGTGATTCTGTGTAAGGACCAGACCTGTCTGTGAAGAACAAAAGCATTGGTACACGCAGCAGGAAGGACTGAGTGACACAGGTGACCCTGCAGCGGCTGGATCAAGAGCAACCCGAGGGACCTAAGGCTTTCCTGGGGCATTTTGGGGCTGCCCGATCCCAGCCAGGCCTTCCAGCTGCAGGAGCTGGTGGCATTTCCAAGCCAGCTGTGCTGCCGGGAGCAGGACAGGAGCTGGGGCAGGCAGCTCGGCTCCTTCTCCCGATCTCTGCTGGGATGCTCCAAGGCCACCGGCACCCAAACGTGACCCTCTGCAGCAAGCCCAAGGGGCCCCCACCCTCTCCAGGGGCCTGCTTCTCCCATTTGTTTGGAGATAAATGGGATAAGAGGCCGCTTCCTCTCCGGAAAGGCACCGCTCCAGGGCTCAGGGCAGGGCGGGAGGGGCAGCTGGGGGAGCTCAGCTGAGGGGGGGGTGTCCCTGGGGCACCGGCACTCGAGAGACTTGAAGCCCCGCTGGAGCTTCTACCCCACGGAGCTGAATCTGGGCCCAAAATTCCCGTGGGATTTGTACTTCATGGTTGCCGGCTGCAGGCAGGGCTGCTCTGGGACCAGCCGTTCTCCCAGTGCTGCCCAGCATCGTCGCTGCGCTCTGCAGCCCCTGGGGATGTGCAGGGACGTGGTGCCGTGCAGGGACGTGGTGCCGTGCAGGGACGTGGTGCTCCCTGTGCAGGCTGCTCCCTGTCCGGCTTCTCGCCCCGGCGCTGTCCTGCTCTTGCACCTGAGGGAGAAGCACCGTGGGACTCGGGTGGGTGGGAGCCAGGCTGCTGGTAACTCTGCTCTTACCCCGCAGGCAAGTGCACAACCTAAGGGGCTTGTCTCCCAGCTGATCATCGCTAATCAGCCCTTAATTAGGGTTATAAAGGATGTGAGTTGCCGCCCACGCAGCTGATGTGCCGAAACCCAGCAACAGCCACTTGGTGCCAGGGGAGCCTGCAGACGGTGGGGCTGTGCCTCTGGGGGCTTTGCATGGGGCCGGTCCCTGACTGCTCGGATGAAGCCGGGAGCTGGCGGCTGGGGATTTCTCCCCCTGTGCTAAAGGCACAGCAAAAAGGCTGCCTGGGTGCTCCCAGCCAGCTCTCAGCAGCTGAGGGAGGTAGTGAGCTAAGGATAAAGGCACCCAGAGCACTACAGAACCATGCGGCAGCTCTGGAGCCTGTGGATCTGGCATGCGGGTAAGCGTTTGGCCCTAAATACCCCCCAAAACCAAATAAAAGCCTGGAGGAAGGCTGCACGGGGGTTGTCCTCCCTGCAGGCCATGGCTGGTGGCCAGGGGACCGGTGTCTGCACCCCACACGCCAAGCTGTGCGAGGTGTCCTTGGGGTCTGGGGAGGTGGGAGAGCCGAGGAAGGCTGCTGCTGCCCAAGAGGACGCTGCGGGACCCCCGCAGGGCTGTCGGGGCAGAGCTGTCCCCACAGCCCTGATGCTCACAGCTGCTCTGGCCAAGGCTTGGGTGCGCCTCGAGCAGAGCGGGTGGCCCAGGACCGCGTCCCCAGCTCTGAGGATGGAGCTCGCCATGGGAAGCCCCCTTCCCACCAGCTTTATTGAGCAGCGTAACACGGACAGAGACGCACGTCTCAGGGGCGTGCGGGTGTCCCCCCGGCTGGGATGGGCAGGAAAAAAGCGCTGATGGTGTCGGAGAGCCAGGTCGGGCAGTAGCTGAGCGGCAGGAAGATGAGCTGGGCGTCCCAGCCGGCCGTGTAGCGGCTGCGGGGGCAGCGGGCGAGCAGCGCGTGCTCCATGCAGCCGGTGACGATGCACAGGCGGGAGCTGCTCAGGCGGTGCAGCAGGGCCGTTTGCCGGGCATCTGGGGGGGACAAATGGGGGTCAGCAGCACAGCCCTGGGGGTGTGAGGGCTGGGGAGAGGGGGTACTCACAGGACTCCAGGTAGTGGGGGCCGTAGGCTGCCTGGATCTCCGCTGGGAGCCTCTCCCAGAGGTGCTGCAAGGCCTTCACCAGCCCCCCGGGGTTGGTCATCCCCGTCTGGAAGCCACCGGGTTCGATGATGGAGATCTGCACCCCGAAGGGGCGCATCTCACGCCTGGCTGGGGAGGGGGCCATCAGCACCCCAGGGACCAGGCATTGCAAGGCAATGGGGACCCCACTGACACCCCTCTGTCCCCCAGGTGGCAGCTGGGGAGCCCTCGCCTCTCCCTGGGGCTCCTCAAAACCCTTCTCTGCTTGCACAACCCCTGGCTCCAGCCTTGCCCTAGTTTCCCAACCCGCAGGGACATCTTTCACAAACCCTCCCGGTGGCTCAATGCTCATCTCAGCTGCAGGGATGGGAGGCAGCTGGGCACAGCTCAAAGCCCCGCATGGGGAAAGCAGGGCACAGCTGCCCAGCACACGGGAGCCCCTAGTGGGATGAGGCTGGCCTCCCCCATACCTGAGGGTGTCGGAGAAGGCCTCCACGCCGTACTTGGAGGGGCAGTACCCCCCGCCGAAGAAGGCGATCCGGCCCATCACGCTTGCCACATTGACCACCCGACCCCGGGCTCTGCGCACCAGGGGCAGGAAGCTCAGCGTCACCTCGATGAGGCCGACCAGGTTGACATCCAGCACCTTGACGAAGTCGTCCTTGCTCAGCCACTCGTTGGGGGCAGCGGGGATAGCGACTCCAGCGTTGTTCACCAGCCCCCAGAGCCCTGGGGAGGGGATGGGGGTGACACAGGCTCTCTGCCCCCTTGCCGTGCCCCCAGCCCCAGCCGTGTCCCCCCGTCCTACCTCGGTCACCCACGCGCTCCCGCACCCAGGCGGTGGCGGCGGCGAATGCTGGCGCTGGAGGTGACGTCCAGGAGGACGGTCTGCAGGCGCTGCGAGGTGGCCGCCCGCAGCCTGGCGGCCCCCGGCTCCGTCAGGCAGCCCGCCAGCACCCGCAGCCCCCGCGCGTCCAGCTGCCGTGCCAGCAGGCTGCCGAAGCCCGAGTCGCAGCCCGTGATCAGCACGAACTTCTCCGAGAGGCCGGGCACCGTCTGACGCTCCCGGTGCCAGCGCCGCAGCCACAACAGCCCCGCCAGCACCACCACCAGCCACAGCCACATCCTCGCTGGAGCTCGGCTCTGGGGGAAGGAAGAGGCAGTGTCCCGTGCGCTGCCCTGGGGTGAAGGCTGGGTCCTGGGGAGCGCTCAGGCACTGGTGGCGTCGGGGTTGGAGCAGCTGCTGCTGCGCCCCGGGAGCTGTTAGTCTCAGCCATGGGACGGCTCTCCTGAGCACGTAGCCTTAGGGGCTTTTCCCTGGTGCTGGGTGGTCTTTGGATCTCAGCTGTGAGGCCCTGCACTTCCCGGCTGGCTGCTGCCCGTGGGAGCCCGTTGCAGCCAGGGCTCTTCGGGTGGGCACGCTCGCAGCAGGTACGGGTTCAAGGCTCTCTCTCCTACACGGCCCCTGTATTTCCCTCAGACCCCAACCACCCGTTCTGCTCAGCACTCGGTGGCTGTTTCCTTCTGGCCCTCTTACACACGAGCTTTTGTCCTCAGTGTGACTAAGAAGCACCAAGGACATGTTTTTGGTGGAGCCGTGCTGTGCTCCCCCTGAGCATGACGCCGCTCTGCCGCTGTCCCTGCAGCAGCGCGATGGGCTGGGGACCTTCAGAGCAGAGCCCACCTCCCCCTCAGAGCAAGCTCCTGCCATAGCAGCGTTTGGATGCCCCTGAGCCAGCTGTGTCCGACCCTTCCTGAACCTCCCTCCAGATGTGCCTGACCCAGCCGGAGGAGCTGCACCTTGTGAACGCTGCGGCCCCAACCCCGGGGTTACCTGGGCAGGTCCTGTGCTGCTCTGGTCCCACTCAGTGAAGGTCTGTCGCAGCCCATCCCGGTGTGGGGGCTGTATAAATAGAGGCTGGCGTGCACCAGCCCCAGCCCAGGTATTGAGCAGCAGCTGGGGGAAGAGCCAGAAACCTGAATTGCAGAAGAGGCTGGATTGCACCAGCCCCCATGATAAAACTCCATTTCTTCATTGCAATTCACTGCCTCATCTTGCACAGATCCACGTGCTGGGAGCTCTGCTTTGGCCTCTGGTTGCTGCCTGTGCTGGCAGAGCTGGTTCAGACCCTTCAGGACACGGCGCTGGGCTGAGTTTGCCCAGCTCAGAAGCCCTGGGACGGCTGCTTTGTCCCCTTTACCTGGGGCAGGCAATGGAGGGGCTGGGGTGAGCTCAGAGCAGCAAAGCGGGGCTGGGGGCTCCCCTGGCCGCCCGCTGCAGTGCTCAGTCCCCTTCCCAGCCCCTCTGCCCGTGGGGCACGGAGCCGACTGCTGCATCTCGTGGCCCCTGGGTGTCCCCAGCACCAGGGCACAGTGAAGTGAGCAGGGGCTGGTGCATGCGGAGAGGCTCACACGGCTGTGCCGACACCTCTGTCCTGTCTCTCCTGGTGCAGGCAGGGGCATGGCCTCGGTGCGCTGTCTGAGGGAGGGGGCACAGCTAAAAAGAAAAGCCCTGCCGTGAAGGGAAGAGAATATTGTCTTTATTCAGCAGCAAACCTGTTTGCTAGCAGGTGACAGCGAGTTGCAGGATGTATGCCGAGCTAGGAATTTAGGAACTTCTCCGTACGGCTTCAGCTGCGGGGCGATGCCAGATCTCAGCCCCTGGCTGCTGCTGCCTGCAGCGACCTCAGGCTTTCTGGTCAGGTTTGGGGTAGGACCAGGTCAGGATCACATCGGCGATGGCGGAGGGCAGGTAGCTGAGGGGGATGTAGAGCAGCTTGGCATCCCAGCCGGCCGAGTAGCGGGCGCGCGGGTAGCGGCTGGTCAGCGCGTGCTCCATGCAGTCCGTGACCAGCGAGAGGTTGGAGTTGCACCTCTTGTGCATCTTCTTGGCTCCTTCCAGAACTGCAGAGGCAGAAGGGGCCAGGTGGGTGCTGAGCCTCGTGCCAAAGGCAAGTGAACGGCTCCACTGGCTCTCAGGGCGGCTGGACACCCTGCGGCCCCGGGGTGGGCTTTGGCTTCGGGGAGGGAGGACCGTGGCTTTAGCTTGGAGGTGGTGTACTTACAGCCCTTCAGGTAATTCTCCCCATAGCCTGCTTTCGTTTCATCCGAGACCTTCTCCCAGGTGCTAAGAAAACACTTCTCCAGGCTCTCGGCGCTGGTGATTGCTGTCTTGAAGTAGCCTGGCTCGATGATGCTGACCTTCACCCCGAAGTGGCGCATCTCAAGCCTGGAAGGGTCCGAGCGCCGTGGGACCAGATTCCGGCAGCCAGCACGGGGCCGCGCAGGATGCACGGCAGCCTCGTGACAGGGGACTGTGGGGGGATCCTGACCACACCAGCACACCCCGTGCCAGCCCCAGCACGCATCCGAGGCGGTTCGTGAGCAAATGTTTGCAGAGCCTGGATGGGATGGGGTCAGCACAGACCTCGGGGACGTTCCCCCGGGATCTGGAGCGGGGGCAAGGTCCAAGCAGGAGGTTTCCTGCCCAGGCAGGTGGTGTCAGCCTGCGGCCAGCAGCCTCCCCTGCAGCCAAGCAAATCCAGCATGCGGGGGACCGAAATCAAAGCCCTGCCACATCCTTCACCGTCCCCTCCCTTGGGCTGCCTCCGCATGTTCTGGGCTGAAGCCAGAGCGGAGGCTGCCAGCGGTGGGCAGCGCACCGTGTAGGGTGGGCGCTGCGTCCCCAAAGGCCCTCCTCGTGCATCTGGTGGCAGCAGCTCCAACAAGCCCACGTGTGCTCGCTGGGGGTGGCAGAGGAAAGGGTCTGAGCAGATGAAGGCTCTGACAGAGAAGCGAAGCAGCCTGAAGAACCAGCAGCGGGCTCTGCACGTGGACTTACCGGAGGCTGTCGGAGAAGGCCTCCACGCCGTACTTGGAGGGGCAGTACCCCCCGCCGAAGAAGGCGACCCGGCCCATCACGCTCGCCACGTTGACCACCCGGCCCCGGGCTCTGCGCACCAGGGGCAGGAAGCTCAGCGTCACCTCGATGAGGCCGACCAGGTTGACATCCAGCACCTTGACGAAGTCGTCCTTGCGCAGCCACTCGTTGGGGGCAGTGGGGACAGCGATCCCGGCGTTGTTCACCAGCCCCCAGAGCCCTGGGGAGGGGATGGGGGTGACACAGGCTCTCTGCCCCCTTGCCGTGCCCCCAGCCCCAGCCAGTGTCCCCCCTGTCCTACCTCGGTCACCCACGCGCTCCCGCACCCAGGCGGTGGCGGCGGCGATGCTGGCGCTGGAGGTGACGTCCAGGAGGACGGTCTGCAGGCGCTGCGAGGTGGCCGCCCGCAGCCTGGCAGCCCCCGGCTCCGTCAGGCAGCCCGCCAGCACCCGCAGCCCCCGCGCGTCCAGCTGCCGTGCCAGCAGGCTGCCGAAGCCCGAGTCGCAGCCCGTGATCAGCACGAACTTCTCCGAGAGGCCGGGCACCGTCTGACGCTCCCGGTGCCAGCGCCGCAGCCACAACAGCCCCGCCAGCACCGCCACCAGCCACAGCCACGGCCCCATCCCGGGCAGGAGTTCAGGGCTCAGCGAGCGGAGCGGAGACGCTCGGGGGATGAGCGGGAGTAGGCACTGCTGCAGCTGCAAGCACTGGGTCAGGCCCACACCGACCTTGGACCTGCCCAGCCCTGCAGGGCTCGGTAAATCAGTGCTGGTGGTGGGGCCGGATCTGGGGCTCACGGCGCTGTGCCAGTGGCTGAGGCTGCAGCCAAGCCTGGGGAGGCACGGGCGGGGGACTCAGCCCCACGGTGCGTCCCTTTCCAGGCTGGGTCCTGGGCAGGAGTGTGGTGGTTGCCTGCCCCGGTCCCGTGTCTCCAGCTCTGTCGGCAGCTGGGGCGTGCTGGAGGCGTCTCACTGCAGGCACTGCCCTGGGCCGCGTCTTACGGCAGCGTTACGGAAGGAGCCTGAAGGAGCAGGCGCTGCGTGTCCAAACGCTGCTCACTTCTGCTTTTATCACGGGCATCTGGTGGCTCTGGGAGGAACCAGAGCTGGAGAGCAGCAAGGAGCTGCGCTGAGCTTGTAGGCACACGCCTGCACAAACAGTGCCCACAAATCATTCCTGCGCTCCCCGCGGCACCACTGAGCCTCTCCCCTGCCCCCTTGCAAACCAGCCCAGGGACAGCCTGTTGTTGGCACGGGGCTGCAGCGCGTCCTGCCGCAGCTTTTGTCTTCGGTCCTTGGGGTTTTGGCTGGGTCTGCGCCCACACGGGCACCCCGCGGACCTGTCCTCCCCCCTGCCTGATGCAGCCCCCTGGCTGCTCCCCCTGCACACAGAGGGCATCAGAGGGGAGCGTGGGACAGCCCCTGTGGAGCCTGGGGCCAGTGAGAGCTGAGCTGTGTTGTCCCAAGAGGGGGGCGAGCACCGCACTGGGGCCTTCTGGGGCCAGGAAGGAGCTTCAGTCCCTCCCAGCCCCTGTGGTCGTTCCTCTGCCCGGCAGTGTTTGATGCCTCACCCCATCCCCAGGGACGCCCCTGTCCTCCCCTTCCCTCCTGGGGAACCAGGCTGCCCCCGTTCCTTTCTGCTTTGTGCAGCGCAAAACCCCCGAGAGCAAAGAGCAGTGGGCGGGGGTGAGGCAGCGACAGTGGCTACGCAACACACGAAGACACTCGGGGCAGTGTTGCTTTCTATGAAATGGGTGCAACCGTCAACAACCGACTGGAGCCAGCGGGGCCCGGGGCACACGCCTGATACCGGGGGGGGCCACGAGCAGCACCGTGCCGGGCACCGGCTGTGCCCTTAGCGCACTGCTAGGTGCTCCTGGTGGCGAGCAGGCGGTCAGCCCAGGCGCTGGGCAGGTAGGACAGGGGGATGTAGAAGAGCCTGGCGTCCAGCCCGCACCCGTAGCGAGTGCGCGGGTACTCGGCCGTCAGCGCGTGCTCCATGGCGTTGGTGACGAGGGAGAGCTTGGGGTTGGCTGTGGTGATGAAACGCTGAAAATTGCTGTTGTCTGCAGAGGGGAAGAGAGAAGCAGGAGCTGGCTGGGTGCCCCGTGCCACGCTGAGATTTCACCCAGTGAGGGCAGCACGTTTTGTTTTCCTCCCCCTGCCGCAGGATCCCAGCCACAGCCCCCTGGGACCCCTGGCACCCGCACTCACAGGCCTGGAAGTACTGCTGCCCGTACTCCTGCTTGACCTCGCTGGGCGCGCGGTCCCACGCCCGCACGATGCTCTGCTTCGCCTCGGCAGAGTCCAGGATGTTGGTCCCGAAGCAGCCAGGCTCAATGATGGACACCTTCACCCCGAAATCCAGGAGCTCGCGCCTGGAAGGCAGCAGTGAGCACAGTGCAGCGGGGATTGGGGCTGGGAGAGGGACAGGGGGCTGGGACTGGGGGTACCTGAGGCTGTCGGAGAAGGCCTCCACGCCGTACTTGGAGGGGCAGTACCCCCCTCCCACCAGGGCGATGCGCCCCACCATGCTGGCCACGTTGACCACGCGGCCCCGGGCTCTGCGCACCAGGGGCAGGAAGCTCAGCGTCACCTCGATGAGGCCGACCAGGTTGACATCCAGCACCTTGACGAAGTCGTCCTTGCTCAGCCACTCGTTGGGGCCAACCGGGTGGAAGATCCCGGCGTTGTTCACCAGCCCCCAGAGCCCTGGGGAGGGGATGGGGGTGACACAGGCTCTCTGCCCCCTTGCCGTGCCCCCAGCCCCAGCCAGTGTCCCCCCGTCCTACCTCGGTCACCCACGCGCTCCCGCACCCAGGCGGTGGCGGCGGCGATGCTGGCGCTGGAGGTGACGTCCAGGAGGACGGTCTGCAGGCGCTGCGAGGTGGCTGCCCGCAGCTTGGCGGCCCCCGGCTCCGTCAGGCAGCCCGCCAGCACCCGCAGCCCCCGCGCGTCCAGCTGCCGTGCCAGCAGGCTGCCGAAGCCCGAGTCGCAGCCCGTGATCAGCACGAACTTCTCCGAGAGGCCGGGCACCGTCTGACGCTCCCGGTGCCAGCGCCGCAGCCACAACAGCCCCGCCAGCACCGCCACCAGCCACAGCCACAGCCACGGCCCCATCCCGGGCAGGAGTTCAGGGCCCAGCGAGCACAGCGGGGCCGCTCGGGGGGTGAGCGGGGAAGGCGCTGCTGCAGCCGCAAGCACTGGGTCAGGCCCACACCGACCTTGGACCCCCGGGACCGGGCAATGACCGCGGGCGGAGCCAGGGGCTGAGCTCCCCTGGGTGCCCTGAGCCCCCCCTGGCCCTCCCCGGCCTCCGGGGCTCGCTGCAGCCCCGTGCCCTGCCCGTGCCCGTCTGGGAGGTGCCGAGCCGGGCCGGGCCGAGCCGTGCAGGACTGGGGTGGGCTTCGCAGTGCCCGGCCGTGCCGTTCCGTGCCCTTCTGGGCCATGTCAGGCTCTGCAGTGCCCGGTCCCGAACCGAGCCGAACCGAGCCCGGCGGCAGTGCCCGGTCTGTGCCCGGTGCCGTGCCCCCCCCCGAGCCCCCCCGAGCCCCCCGTGCCATCCCGAGCCGTTCCGTGCCCCCCCGCCCCATTCCGTCCCGTTCCGTCCCGTCCCGTTCCGTGCCCCCCCCCCCCGCCCTGGCGGTGCCGCCCCCCAGCTCCCGGCGGCCCCCGGGTTCAGGCGGTGCCGCCGCTTCCCGCCCGCAGCCATGGCGGGGTTTGAACCGGCGGCGCTGCCCGAGCTGCTCCCGGTGTTTTACCGCCGCCTCTTCCCGCACGGCGCCTACGGCCGCTGGCTCGGTTACGGCGGCGGTGAGCGGCGGGGGGGGCGCGGGGGGAACGGGGCCGGCGGGGCTGGGCCCGGGGGGGGGGGGGGGGGGCGGGGTGGAACGGGGCGGGGGTCGCTCCGTGCCGGTCCCCCCCCCCGCTAACCCCATCCGTGCCCCCCCCTCCATCCTCTTCCAGCGGCCAAGAATTACTTCCAGCTGCGGGAGTTCTCCTTCACGCTGCGGGACGATGTCTACGTGCGCTTCCAGTCCTTCGGCAGCCCCCAGGAGCTGGAGCGGGAGCTGCAGAAGATGAACCCCTACAAGATCGACATCGGGGCCGTCTACTCGCACCGGGTGAGTCGCACAACCCCAAAACCCCCCCAAAACAGGGTCATTAGGGGGGGAGAAGCCCCCCCCAGCATCACCCGGTCCGACCGTCCCCAGCCGCCACCGCCACCCCGTAAACCACGTCCCCCAGCACCGCGTCCAACCTCCCCTTCAGCACCCCAAACCCCGCTCCCACCGGGCTCCCCGACCGGCCGGGGGCACCCCCCCGTGCCCCCCGCCGGGGCTGAGCCGCTCGTGCCCCGCAGCCCAGCCAGCACAACACGGTGCACCTGGGGGCCTTCCAGCCCGTGGAGAAGGAGCTGGTCTTCGACATCGACATGACGGACTACGACGACGTCCGGACGTGCTGCAGGTTACCGGGGGCGCTGGCAGCGTGGCCCCGGCCCCAATAACGTGGAATAGTTGGGGAGGGGCACGGCACGGCCGCGGCGCCCGCCTGACCCCGCTGCGCTCTGCCCCCAGCTCGGCCGAGATCTGCTCCAAGTGCTGGACCCTGATGACCATCGCCGTTCGCATCATTGACCGCGCGCTCGTGGGTGAGGGATCCCAGGAACCCCGCAGCCCTTGGCGTGCATCGGGGACGCATCCAGACCCTGCTGCCCCTCGCAGCGATGCCCTGAAGAGGGGGCTGGGGGAGCTGCTGCGGGGCTGGAGTAGGCGACGTGCTGACACCCAGGGGGTTCTCCCGGTGGGTCCGTAGTGCCACCCGTGCCAGCACGCTCCCGCAGCCCGGCTGTTCCTCCCCGCAGAGGACCTGGGCATGAAGCACCGCCTGTGGGTGTACTCGGGCCGGAGAGGCGTCCACTGCTGGGTGTGCGACGACGCGGTGCGGAAATGGTCCCCGGCGCTGCGCGCGGCCGCCGTGGAGTACCTGACGCTGGTGAAGGTGGGTGCGTGGGGACCGGGCAGCCCTGCCCGCACCCACCCGGGCTGAGCACCGCTGTCCCCTCAGGGTGGAGCAGAGACCGTGAAGAAAGTGAACCTCTCGGAGCCCGTCCACCCCTTCATCAGGTCGGTGGGGACGCGCCTGCCCGGCCCCCGCAGCCGCCGGCCACGGGGCGCTGAGCCTCTCCCCACTCCTCCTCCTCTGCAGGCGGTCGGTGAACGTGGTGGAGAAATACTTTGAGGAGTACGCGCTGGTGGGCCAGGACATCCTGGGCAGCCCGGAGCGCTGGGACAAGGTGCTGGCCCTCGTCCCGGAGGATATCCTTCCCGCAGCGGCTCGGGGGCCAGGGGAGGGTCCGCGCAGGGGAGGGGGGCTGGCGGTGGCCGTGATCAGCCTTAACCGCCGGGCACAGCACCGCGAGCAGCTGCAGGGCGACTTCCCCAAGAAGCGAGACTCGGTGCAGCGCTGGGAGCTGCTGAAGGGCAGGATGGAGCGGACGCGGGTGAGCTCCCAAGGGGCTGTAATAGGGTGAGGGGTGGGTGCTGCAGCCCCCGTGGCTGCCCCCTGACCCCCCCCCCGTCCCCGCAGCGGGCAGCGAGCACCGGGAAGGGCGCAGCGTGCTATGCAGACTGGGAGATCATGCTGCAGTACTGCTTCCCACGCCTCGATATCAACGTCAGCAAAGGCGTCGGGCACTTGCTGAAGAGCCCCTTCAGCGTCCACCCCAAAACAGGTCAGTGTGGCCGCCTGCAGGGCCGGGACGTGGGGCCGGCCACCTCCGGCAGCGACTCCCCTTTCTTGCAGGCCGCATCTCGGTGCCGCTGGATCTGCAGAGGCTGGACCAGTTCGACCCATTTGCTGTCCCCACCATCAGGTGGGCCAGCAGAGGGGGGGTCCCCAGGGGGGTCCCGGCTCTGCCAGCAGCCCCTGCCACGTCCCAATATCGCCCACAGCTCCCTGTGCCGTGAGCTGGACGCGGCCGGCGATGACGGGGAGCAGGAGGACGGCGGAGAGACGGAGCCAAAGCGGCGTGTGCGGGGTGAGGGGGGCCGCAGGCGGGACGTGAGGGGGGGTCCCCACCCCAGCGGGGGGCTCCTGCTCAGCCCCCTCTGCTCCTGCAGACTACAAGCGGACGAGCCTGGCGCCCTACGTGAGGGTCTTCGAGCAGTTCCTGGAGGAGATGGAGCGAGCCCGGAGGGGGGAGCGGCTCCAGCGAAGCGGTAAGCGCTGGGAGGAGAAGCAGCCAGCCTGGGGAGCTGGAGGGGCCCCGCGGCTCTGCTCTTTTCCTGTAAAACTCCCTCGTTTCTGCCCTTCCCAGACCTGCAAGGCGATTTCTGACGCTGCTGGGGAGCGCGGCGCCAGCCCCCGTCCTTGCCGTGGGGGCCAGCGAGGGACCTGCCTGCTGCCCCCGGGGGCCCGGTGCCGTGGGGCAGGGCCCTGACGCCCCCCGGCTCCCTTCCGACCGCCGCTGTTTGTGCGTTTTGTATTTTTTGTACCTTTTTTTTTACCCTATTTTCACCTTTTGTATTTTTTGAACCTTTTCTACCCTGGTTTCCATTAAAAAAATTCTGGTCAGCCGCCTGCCTGCCTCCCTGGGCCGCCCTAACACCGCGGTGCTGGGACCCCCCCGGGACCCTCCGGGACCCCCCCCCGGGGCCCCTTTCCCGCTGCCCCCCCCGGACCGTCCGTGCCCCGGAACCTTTGTGCGCGGCCCCGGGGCCGGGCGGGGGTGGGGGCGCTGCCCCGCGTCCCGGAAGCGCTCGGCCCTTCCGGAAGTCGCGCCGCCAGCCGCTCGGTCTCTTTCCGCCGCCATCTTGGGCCCCGCTCCCCGCACGGTGAGCGCCGCCGCCGCCATCCGCCGCCATCCGCCCCCGCGGGGCACCGGGGCCCGGGGGGAGGGCGCGGGAGGGCGATGGCGGCGGGGCCGAGGCCGTCGGGGGCACCCGGGAGGCGGTGGGGAGGGGGGCGACGGGACCGGGGGGTGACCGGGGGGGAACCGGGGGGGACCGGAGGGGGCCGGGAGGGGCCTGGGGGGGGCGGCGGAGCGGAGCGGAGCCGTCGGGACCGGGAGGCCTCAGGGGGCTGCCGGGGGGGCCGAGCGCCGGTGGTGCGGGCAGGGGGAGCTCCCGGCGGCCCCCCCCCTCCCGGGCAGGTCCCGGTGCCGCCGCGAGCCCGGTGCCGTTTTGCTTTCCCCGGTGGGCGCAGCGATGCCTGGAGAAGCCACAGAAACCGTCCCGGCCACGGAGCAGGAGCTGCCGCAGCCGCAGGCTGAGACAGGTGAGCGCGGCGGGGGGGCCGGGAACGGGGACCGGGGGGGGGGCCGGGGCCGAACCGGGACGAACGGGGGGGGTCCGGCAGCGCTGCGGGGCCGTGCTCGGGGCCGGGCCGGTGGCTGCGGGCGTTGCCTGAACCCAGCCAGGGCCTCTCGGGGGGGTTTTGGGGTCGGGAGCCCGGTGAGTGCCTCAGGTACCGGGAGTCCCCGGCCGTGGCTACGGGAGGCTCTTCGCCGCCGAGGTGGGAAACGGGAGGGGGCTGCGAGGCCCCGGGGCCGGCTGACTGGTGACCGGGGCCCGTCCCGGCAGCACGGCGCTGGGGCCGTCTCGGGGATGTGCTGCGTGACACCGGGCCCCGGCCCCGGTAACCGAGGGGCAGAGGGGGCCCTGCCGCGGGTGGGGGGGATTGGGGGCTGTGGGAGAAGCTGCGGGGCCCGGGGGTGTGGGCAGGGGAGCCCCCGTCACCGCCTCCTGCCACCGGGAACGGGCTTGGGGGGTGGCAGCGGTGACGGGGGGGGCACCGAGCTCCCCGGGGGCTCGGTGAGGCTGGGGGAAGGTGGCCGCGAGCACGGCTCAGCCGGTGGCACCGTCACCGGGGGCCCGTCCCCAGGCAGCGACACGGGACAGGGGCAGTGGGGGGCTGGCGGCCACCGGGAGACCCCCGGGGGACCGCGCGTGGTGCCCCTGGGGGGGGGCCGGCGAAGGAGCAGAGCTGGGGGTGGCACTGCCCTGCTCCCCCCCCTCCCAATGTGTTGCTCCCTGCAGAAACGCCCGGCCCCGTGCCTGGGGGCAGAAGCGTCTGGGCCGTGTTTTGGGGGCACGGGGGGGTCCCCGCGCACGGAAGGGGGCTCCCCGGAGCCTTCCCTGGGAGGGGGCAGCGGGGGGGGTGAGGATTGGGACCCCCGAGTGGCCCTGGGGTAACTGGGGAAGTGTTGGCACAGCCCCAGCGCGGCTCCTTCCTCCTGGAGGCGGTGAGAGGCACTCCTGGGGGGGTACGGGGGGGGGAAATTTGGGGCTGTGTGAGCCGGGCTGGGACACCAAGTGCCAAATCCTCCTCCTGGTGGGGTCCCCCCCCCCCCCGCGGGGCTGGTTCTGCTCCCCTGACCGGTGCTGCTGGTCCCACCGGGCCCGCCCAGCGCCGCCTGGCTCTGCCCTGCCTGCGGGGCGCGGGGTGGGGGCTGTCTGTGAGCTGGGGGGGGGGCCCTGCCCCCATTCCCCGTCCTCCCCACTCAGCTCCCGGTGCCCGAGGCCACCCCGTGTGAGCCACGCACGGAGCCGGGGGGTCCCCCAACCCCCCCAAGGAGCCCCAAGCCCTCAGACGTTCCTGGGCTGCCCCGGGGGCCGGGGCTGGATTTTGGCAGCCCCCTGATGGTGCCGGGGGGGCTGGTGGGGGGGCCCTGTCCCCGTTCCTGCCCCGAGGGGTCCCCCCCAGCTCCGTGCGGCCTCCCCGCTCTGACGGCCGCGCTCTGTTTCTCTCCCTCAGCTCTTCTCCTCGCTCCTCTGCCCGCAGCCCCCGGCCCCGCTGCCCCGGCTGCCCCCGGGGAGCCGGTCCCGCCCCCCCTGTCCCCCCCCGTGGTCCCCGCCGCGGCGTTTCCCGTCTCCTCCGTGCCCCCCCAGCTCCCCCCCCCAGCCTTGCCCCTTCCCCTTAATTCCCCCCCTCCGGCTCCGGGCTCCCCAGGCCCTGCCGCCGCTGTCCCGTTCGGCCCCGTGGCCCCAGGACTCCCCCCCCCGGTGTCCCCCCCCGTTGTGGGGCCATCCCCACTGAGCCCCATCCGTCCCCCGGCGGCTCTCAGCCCCCCTGCTGCCCCCCCCAGCCCCATAGGAGCCTCCATGGCCTCGGCCCCTCGCCCCTCTCTTGCCCCTACCCCTCCCCTCAGCCCTGGGGCAGCCCCGGCTGCTCTTGCCCCCACCCCCCCCTGTCCCGTGGGGGCCCCCCCGGTCTGTACCCAGAGCCCGGGCGCTCCCCCCATCTGCCCCTTCCCGGCCCCAGCGGTGCCACTGCCTCCTGCCACCCCCCAGCCCCCCCTAGCCACCCCTCCATCCCCCCCCATCTTCCTGGCAGCCCCCATGGCGCTGGCCCCGATGCTACCACCTGGGGGGGCCCCTGGGAGCCCCTCTGCGGCCCCCCAGGGCCCGCTGCCTGCTGCCCCCGTCCCTCTGCTGCCCCCGGCAGCTCCGGGGGCCAGCACCCAGCCTGGGGGCCCGGCCCTGGCAGCCCCCGCAGCCCCGGCACCCCCCGGGAGCCCCGACCCCGGTGCCGCCGCCCAGCCCCAAACCCCCCCAGCCGCCGCCGTGCCCCCCCCAGCACCGCCGGCAGCTCCGGGGGTCGCTGCGCCCCCTGCTCCTGCCGGCTTCCCACCGGCCGTGCCCGTGTCAGCAGCGCCAGCCACCCCTTCTGCTGCCCCCCCCTGCTCCTCTCAGCCCTCTTGGTGCCCCCCCAGCCCCTGCTGCCCCCCCAGCTCCTTCGAGCCCACTCCCAGCCCCTGCAGCCCCCCCAGCCCCTGCCACCCCCAAATCTCCTCCCTCGAGCCCCCCTACTGCTGCACCGCCTCCTGTGCCCCCCCCTGCTCCTCTGAGCCCTATCAGTGCCCCCCCAGCTCCTGTGAGCCCACTCCCTGCCCCCCCAGCCCCTGCTGCCCCCCCAGCTCCTGTGAGCCCACTCCCTGCCCCCCCAGCCCCTGCTGCCCCCAAATCTCCCTCAAGCCCCCCTCCTGCCACACCACCTCCTGCTGCCCCGCCAGCTCCAGCTGCCCCCCCTGCAGCCAAAGCAGCTCCCAAGGGCCCAGCCGATGCCCCCCCTGCCACCCCCCCTCCTGTCACACCACCGGGGGCTGCTCCAGCTGCCCCCCCTGCAGCCAAAAAGCCCCCAAAGGGCCCCACTGCCGCCCCCCCCTTCCCCAGCTCCTGCAGCTCCCCCGGCTGCGGCTGCCCCCCCTGCGACCGAAGCAGCTCCCAAGAGCCCGCTCCCTGCCCCTGCCCCCCCGGCAGCCAAAACTCCCCCCAAGAGTGCTGCTCCTGCCCCCCCTGCCCCTGCTGCCCCAGCTCCGGCTGCCCCCCCTGCAGCCAAAAAGCCCCCCAAGAGCCCGGCTGCTGCCCCAGCTGCCCCCAGTGCCCCAGCTCCTGCAGCTGCCCCAGCTCCGGCCGCCCCCCCTGCGGGCAAGAAGCCCCCCAAGAGCCCGGCCGCTTCCCCCTCTGCCCCTGCTGCCCCAGCTCCTGCAGCCAAAGCGCCTCCCAAGAGCCCCACAGCCCCCCCCCCGCCCCCCCGGCAGCCAAAGCAGCCCCTGCCAGCCCAGCTCCCGGCACTCAGCCTCCTGCTTCTGGTGCCCCCCCAAAGCCTCCGGCCGATCGCGCTGCCCCCGCGCCCCCAAAACCAGAAGCCAACCCCCCCGCTGCCGCACCGGGGGGCAACCTGGCCCCCCCCGCCTCTGCTGTGCCTACTGCTGCCCCCGCCAAGAAGCAGCCCCCCCCAGCTAAGGCCAGCAAGCCGGCCCCGCGCCCCCCCCCGGCCAAAACTCCCGCAAAAGCCACCGTGGAGGACGACGACGACGACGACCTGCCCCCCCTGCTCCCCCCCGAGGCGCCCGCTGCCGAGCCGCCGCTGCAGCCCATCCTGGTGGACCTCTCCCCCCGAGCCCCCGCGGCCCCCGCTGCGGCCCCCCCTGGCCCCCGCAGCCAAGCCGCCCGTGCTGAGGAACGACAAGGGTATCGGCCGGCCCCGGTTGTGTGTGCATGGAGTGTCACTGGCTGCCCACCAGATACTAACCCCCCCCCCTCACCCCCCCACGGGACCCCCGTGGCGCGGCGGAGGCAGGTTTGAGCCCCGTGCGGCGGCACTAACGGCGTGTTGTGGGGCATGGAGCACGGTGTGGCCTGCGTGCAGGCGTGGCGGCTGCTGCCTGAGCTGGCTTCACGCTCAAACCCCGCGGGGAGCCGCGTGCTTGTGTCTGCTGTGTGCTGGGGGGGGTCCCGGACCGCTGGTGTCCCCCCCCCGCAGCCTGCACAGGCCTTTGCTGCGGGCTCAGTGCAGCCCGGGATGCAGAGACCCCTCCCCAAAAAGGAAACGGGACGGAATTCAGGTAACAGCTGCATGAGAGCGTGGTGCTCAGCCTGCCCCGCGGGCTGGAGGTGCCCGGTTCTGCTCTGGGCGCTGCCACGTTGCAGACCAAAAAAATCCACGCCGTGGTGTGCGAGGGGATCGCGCGCTGCGGGAGCTGACGGCCCCCGGGGCTTCCCGGGCACTCAGCAGCTTTCAGGCCGGGCGGAGACCCCAAAAAGCTTCCGTGGTGGGGAAACTCCGGGGTCACCCCAAATCAGGAAGGGTCTCAAAGGTGCGGCAGCCCCGAGCACGTGGCGAGCTGGGGCTCGTTTGCTCGCCGCGTCGTCAGCTCCCGCAGTGCCCGGAGCCCTGAGGGGTGCTGCTGCCGGGCGCTCGTCCTTGAACCCGGGGCCTCGGTGTCGCAGTGAGCCCCCAGGCACCCGGGAGCCCCGCGGGGCACGGCCCTGGTGCGGGTTTTTTGGCCGCTCTCGGGGAGTTTCCGTGCAGTGAGTGCCGGGAGGAGGCAGCTCGTGCCCGGTGCTGTCCTGCTGCATTTGCAGGGAGGACGCCTCCCGCCAGGTCTTGCTCAACCCCGCTGGATGAAACGCGGCTGGGGTGGAACTTGTGGCTGTGCCAGCACCTCTCCACAGAGCTCACGCCGAGGCAGCGCGGTTCCGTGTGTCCCCAGGCCCTCCTGCTGCCCCGTGCAGGGTTCTGAGCAGGGAAGCTGACACATTTCTTTCGGTAGGGTCCGGAACAGAGTCTGACAGCGATGAATCCGTCCCAGAGCTCGAAGAGCAAGACTCCACACAGGCCACGACACAGCAGGCGCAGGTAGGGAGGAGGAGGGACACGTGCCCGGCCGGGGCAGAGCCCCCAGCACCACCACAGGGTTGTCACCGCTCTCTCTCGTTTGCTCTCCTCGCAGCTTGCAGCAGCGGCTGAAATAGATGAAGAACCCGTCAGCAAAGCAAAACAGAGCCGGAGTGAAAAGAAAGCACGGAAGGTGAGGTGGGAGGTGGACGGGCCAGAGCTGTCTGCAGCAAACAGCCTGGGCTCGGCTCGGGGTTGGGCTTGGCTCAGGTCCCTGGGTGTTGGGGTGCTCACCTCTTGAACCTGCTGGGGACAGCAGCCCCTCTCCTCCTGCCCTGGCACCACAGCAGGAGAGGTTTGTGTGATTTATCCAACCTCGTTGTGCCCCGAGGCTGGGGGATGCCCCTGGTCACAGCCACAGTCCTTGCGGCTGGAGTGGCTCCGGGTCGTGGTGTGGACCTGCGCCGGTCCTGGGGGGAGAGCGCTCCCCCCCAGGCTCCCAGCGCCGCTTCAGTCGAGAATAACGCCCGTGGGCAGTGCCAAAACGCACACTGCCTGGTGCGTGAGGGCTGCGGTTGCTGGACGGGGCCCCTGGGCAGCAGATGAGCGGGCTGAGCTGCCTCAGGAACTCCTCGCCTCATTCCCTTCCTCGCTTGTTTTTCCAGGCAATGTCGAAGCTGGGCCTTCGCCAGGTCACAGGAGTCACCAGGGTCACCATCCGGAAATCCAAGAACATCCTCTTCGTCATCACAAAGCCAGACGTGTACAAGAGCCCGGCCTCAGACACCTACATAGTCTTCGGCGAAGCGAAGGTGAGCTGGCCGCGTGGCCGGCTGCTGGGCTGCGAGGGCTGGCTCCTCCCCGCCGCGCAGGGCTGGCCTCGCTCACGCTCCTTCCCTCCTGCAGATCGAAGACCTGTCCCAGCAGGCCCAGCTGGCAGCCGCTGAGAAGTTCAAAGTGCAGGGAGAAGCTGTCTCAAACATCCAGGAGAACACACAGACCCCCACTGTGCAGGAGGAGAGCGAGGAAGAAGAGGTGAGCCCTCCCCGTGTAGCCCTGCGGGGCCGGGCACAGGCCCAGAGGTGCCCCGGGGAGCTCCGGAGGCACGGGCTGGATTTGCAGGCTCGTGGTGTTACCTGCTGCTGTTAAGACACGAGGTTTTCTTTCCTTTCCCTTGCCTCGGGGGCAAAAGGAGGTGCGGGGGCTTACCCCGGAGGGTCTGGTCCCAGTCCCTGCCAGAGGAGTGTCCGCAGGGCTGGGGCCTGCCCAAAAGCTTCTTGGGCCTGAGCGGGAGTGACCCCAATCCATGCGATCCCATTTTCCTCCACGGGGCACAGAGCAAACTGCGTTCAGCTCCGTCAGCCCCGGGCTCTGTCTCCTCAGGTTGACGAAACCGGTGTCGAGGTGAAAGACATTGAGCTGGTCATGTCTCAGGCGAACGTGTCCCGAGCGAAGGCAGTCCGTGCCCTGAAGAACAACAGTAACGATATTGTAAATGCTATAATGGTGAGTGTCGGCGGCCCGGAAATCTGGGGGGCTGGGGAGGGAGCGGGGTTGGAAGCAGGACTCCTTGGGTGGGAGATGCTCGTGTGCCACCAGGACACGGCGTTCCTGTGGGGACAAGCAGAGCGAGAGGTTGGGGTTGTGCAGGGCAGGGCAGGGGGCGTGTGGGGGGTGCTGGGACCTGGCTCCTGACCCCTCTTTCTCTCCACAGGAGTTGACGATGTAGCCATCAGCAGGGAGGAGCCTTTTTTGGTGTTTCAGAGAAAAGTAAAATGCAACTAAATTTAAAATTTGTACTATTTCTATCCATTAATAAAAGTTGTGGCTTATTGTTGGTGAAACCCTTTCCCCCTCGCTTTTGGCCTTGCTGCCGGCCCTTCCCTGCTAGCCGAGGCCCCAGGGTGGAGCCTTCCTCTCGGGGAGATCCCGGCCCCGATACCCCCGGCGTGTCCTGCCAGGGCGGAAGAGCACCTGCCCGCGCCCCGTTTCCTTTCTCACGTCTGGTCCAGAGCTTTGGGGGTAGGCCCCGGGGGTCCGGTCTTGGCCTCTCAGTGGGGACCCACGGCCCGTGTGAGGGGAGCGGGGCAGGGGGCGCAGGGCCGTGGCTCCGTAGGGCGCTGCCTGGGGGCCTCCCACGGCCCCGCTGCCCCCTGGGCCTCAGCCGGAGGCACGGGGCCGGGCGGGGGAGCAGAACCGGCGGCTGCGGGGGGAGCCCGGCCCTGGGGGGAGGCAGCGGGGCCCCGCCGGGCCTAGAGCCAGGCCTAAAGCCTAGGCCCAGGCCGCCCCCGTCGCCATGGCAACCGCCGACCTCCCCGTCTCCACGGCAACCAAGGCCCCGCCCCCCTCCGTCGCCTTGGCAACCGCCGGCCCCGCCCCCTCGTTGCGGGGTGCAGCGCGCAATGCGCATGCGCGCCGAGAAGCTGCTAGAAGGGAGGAGGGAGCGGGAGCCCGCGCGCGCGGCGAGGGGCGGGGCGCGGGGGGGAGGCAGGCGGCGGGCGGGCCGCGCGCATGCGCAGTGGCGGGAGGCGGCGCGGCGGGGTTTTTGCTGCGTCACCAGCGCTGGGCGCCGCCGCCGCCGGAGCGCGCGGGGCATTGTGGGAGCGAGGCCGCGCCGAGCCCCGACCCGCAGCGGAGCCCCCGAGCCCCGACCGGCCCCGGCCCGACCCCGGCCCCGCCCCCGCCCCCCCTCCGCCGCCGCCGCCAGCACCGGAGCCGCCCTCGCTCGTCCGCCCGCCGGGCTCCCCCCGTCCCTCCGAGGAGCGCCAGCCGCCGCCGCCATTCGCCATGTGAGGCCCGCGGGAGGGCGCCGGGAGGAGGCCGCGGCCTCGCCGGTGGCGGCGGGAGGGGAAGGGAGGGGACGGGAGGGGAAGGGGGGGGGCGGCGCCGCGCAGTGACCTTGGCCGGGCCCCGCCGCGTGGCCCCGGGCCGGGCCCCACCGGAGGCGCCGTGGGGCGGGCGGGAGCTGCCCGCAGCGCTCCTCGGGGCACCGGCACCGGCGGCGGGCAATGAATGGGGCCGGGGCGGAGCCGCCTGGGGGGGGCCGCGGGGCAGGGTGGAGCCGGGGCCGGCACCGGGGGGGCCGAGCGGGGCCGGGGGAACGCGCGGGGCTCGCGGTGAGCGGCAGGGGGGCGGCGGAGGGGAGCCGCCCGCGCGGTTTCCCCGTTCCGATGTTAAACCGAGCACCGAGGGACAGGCCCCCGGGGGTAGCGGGGCACCGGCCCCGGGGCGGGATCCGCCGCTCCGGTGGCTCCGGGTAGCACCGGGGAACGGCGGAGGAGCCTAGCAGCGCGGCGTGGCCGTGGCTCGGAGCGAAACGAAAGCAGCGAGGAGGAGGCGCGCCGCCCGCCCGGCTCCCGGCAGCTTTCCCCGCTGAATTTCCCCAAAACTCCGCCTGAATTTCCCGAGAACTCCGCGGTGATTTAAGCCACGAGAACGGCGGCGCGCTCCTGAGCTGGTTTCGCTCTGCCCGAAGCACCGAGGGAAGCGTTTGCCGCCCCGGGGAGCAGCACACGTGAGCTTTTTGCCGCCTTGTCGCTGGGGAGGCTTTTACCTCTCCGCAGCCCTTCCGAAACTCCGAGTCCGGGGCTGCTCCCCGTTAACGTGACTGAAAGCGAGAGGAAAGTAACGAAGCAGGAGCTCTTCGCGTAGCGTTTGCAGAATACATCATCCTGAAACCATTGCTTTTTTTAGAAAAAAAAAAGAGAAAAAAAAAAAAAGCAGCACATTTGCTGGGGTACGAAAACGAAAGCAAAACTAGTTATGTAAACCAAAATTCTTGCTGCCACCTGTAGAGCTAAATGGCTTTTCTCCTAATCCTGTCTGAGGGTGAAAATCTCGTTGGGCAGCCGAGTGCTGTAGGAGCTGTCTGGATGCTTTCCGGGATAGAAGGCTGAGCTCTGGCGGGTCGCAGCCCGCAGAACGGACGAGGAAAAGCACGTGGGCAGGTCTGGAAACTTCTCGAACGGCCTCGAGCAGCAAGCAGCAAGACTTGGGGGTCAGCCCGTGGGTACAGGACGTGAGGACCTCTGCTGCTGGGGATGGTGCGTCCAGAGCTTCTCGGCCCCAGGGAAGAGAGCGCCGGTCTGTGGTGTCGTCGTGGTGTCCCCTGGAAGTGCCAGCCGCTGGAGGTGTTAAATTCAGGCGCACGGTGGCTGCGGCTGTTTAGGAAGTGCCCCAAACCTGCGGGTAGCAGCAGGAGTAGTCGGGACAAGCCCTTACGGGGTGCGGGGCCTCGTTCTGTGGCCCTGCGCTGCGCGGTCGGGCTGCGTGCTGGAGCTGAGGCTGCTGGCACAGGGCGGAGGGAATGGGAAATTAATTTATTCCGGTCCCATGCGAGCAGCGCAGCTGAGCGGGAAGGAGGAAGTGTGGGGCTCCCCGCCTAACAAACGGCTCTGTCTGGAAGCCCGGCTGGCGTCTCTCCGTGCCGGTGAGAGAACAGAGCGGGGTTTTGTGTGGGCGTGGGGGAAGCACCTCTCCGAAGGGTGCTGAGCACGTGTGCTCCTCGCCGGTGGCCTCCCAGGAATCTCGGTGTGGGCAGCGAGGTGATCAGCTGGGTGAGACTCGTCCCATCCACCCCTCGTGGTGGCAGCTCTCACGTGGCCTGCGCCGCTCTGGATGCGAAGTCGCAATTAAAAGCACCTCGTCAGGCGGCTGGAGGCAGCGTCCGTCCTCCGTTTGGGGGGAGGGGATGGGAGGTGTGGTGGTTTTACTGGGGTGGGCAGCCAAAATCCACCAGGGTCGCTCTCTCACTCCCCCTCAAAGAGAAAGGGGCAGAAAATAAGATGCAGAGGGCTCGAGAGCTGAGGTAAGGATGGGGAGATCCATCAACAGTTATCATGACGGGCAAAACAGACTCAGAGTAGGGAGCTAGGAACTGCTCCATGTCTGGCTCTGTACCACGGGGGCCATCCCTCAGGAGCTCTCAGCTCCAGCACGGGTCCCCCACAGGCGGCAGCTCCTGCCAGGTCACCTCGTCCTGCGTGGGCTCCTCCACGGGCTGCAGCGTGGAGATCTGCTCCATGCGGCACCCGTGGGTGCAGGGGGACAGCCTGCTGCACCAGGGGCCTCACCACAGGCTGCGGGGCACCTCTCCCCCTCCTTCTTTGCTGACCTTGGCACCTGCAAGGCTGTTTCTCATTCCTTTCACTCTCCCAGCAGTTTTTTTTTTCCCTTTCTTCACTCTGCTCTCACAGAGGCACAAACAACATCGCTTATTGGCTTGGCTCTGGCCAGCAGCAGGGCCCTTCTCCATCCTGTGGCCCTTCTCCATCCACCCCTGTGGCCCCCTGCTACCAAAACCTTCCCAGTAAACCCACTGCAGGAAGGGAGAAGGACTGGATGGAAGGACTGGGCTGACTGGTTCTGTGCGTGATGCAGTCACCGCCTGCAGGGTGGGAGGCACTGCGTGCCTGGGAGGCAACCAAAGTTTGCTGTTAGAAGCACGGTTTCTGTTCAGCTAAACTCTCTGGTTTCATCCCTCTTTGTGTGGCTTCGATGCCCGCGAGCTTCCTTCAGCTCTAGGGTAACTCATAAAGGGTTTGGAAGTCGTGTGAGCGCTGCCTCGGCACGCCTGATCCTGGCAAGAAATCAAGGTCACGGCCACACCGGAGCAACACGGCTGAGGAATGCCTGCAGCTCCCCCCGGGAAGGCCGGGGACGTCTCCATTGACGCTGGGAAACACTCGACAAGTGTTGATGCCGTGCACAAAAGCCCCCGGCACCATCGCTAGCAGGGACACTGCAATTTCTGTTCTGCTAGCAGCGCGTCTGAGCAACGTACCGCGTTGTGAGCAGCGGGATTCGTCCTCCGCTGGTGCCCAGGCGCAGCAGTTTGGGTCTGGGGGGCATGAGGAGGCACAGAGCAGCCGGGGGGCTGGGCAAGTTGGACATGGCCTTGCCCTTCCTCGAAGAGCCCTGCATTCCCCAGGAGAAGAGGAAACTTGTCTCCAGTAAGGACTCAATGCCCTAGTGAGGAAACTGCTGCTGCCGTTGACCTTTATCTGAATAAATCGGTGGCTCCCGCAGTATTTCTTAAAAGTGCTGCTAAAGGGGAGAGAGGATTTCGCCCCTAGGGGCAGTGGCTTGCTGGGAGGCGAGGGCTGTGCTCAACTGCCCGCTCTGAGGGCTGGCTTCCTGGCTGGGATCAGGCGCTCATAGCTGCAGGCAGGAGCATTTCCCCGTGAGGAGGAAACCAGCGGAGTCTTACAAGTGGTGCGAGGACCGCCAGGTGGGGGGGTTTCCTCTGGTGCCGTCGTTTGATGGCCGAGGGGACTTCAGCATCTGCTTTTCTCTCTGAAAGCCCTTCCTCCTGGCGCTCCTTCTGCAGCTAAACCACAGCAGCTGTGACCCCGTCGTCTTTGTGCCCTGCTGAGGACAAGCTGCAGCTTTCAGCTGGTGTCCGTGCGGGCTGCGAGCAGCGGAGCTGCCGCTGGTCCCGGGCATCCCCGGGGAGGCGTGAGCTTAACCCAACCTGTCCCAGCGTGGCTGAGCCCCGTATCTGAGGGCTGAATCTGCTGACAGCAGGTGCGTCCAGAGCTGTTCTGGAGGCTTAGCGCTGTCACCTGGAATGTTCTGGAAAGGTAATTCTGCTCTCGGGCTGCACCGCCCCGCAGCAGGGCCGGGAGCGCTCCCAGCGTCCCGGTGCTCGGCTCCTCCAGCTCCGTGCGGCTGCGCTGAGCTCCCAGGTGAGCGCAGTCGGTCCTGGCTTGGCAACGCCTTGGCTGTGAAATTCCAGCCCGGGTCGCACAGCGCTGGAACGCAGCCGGGGTGTGAGAGCGTCCGCGATCGCTCGTGGCTTAGCAACAGCAGCTCCCGCTGGGCGCTGCTCGCTCGGCCCTGGAATGCGGACGCTGAGCTCGGGGCTGGGCTCCAGCAGCCGGGGAAGGAGGGGAAGCGGCCGGAGCCTGTGGCTGGGGCCGGGATGGCCGCGCTCGAGCGTCACCGTTTGTCTGGCGGGTGAGTGGTTGCTGCTGAGCGGTGAATGCAGCTGCTCAGGGGCGTTTCTCGTGCCGTGGATGGGCTGCGGCTCCTTCTGATGCCTGGGGGAAGCCAGGAGTGGGAGCCTTGGGTGGCAGCCAGCTCGGCGTTGGAGTCTGTGTCTGTAGGACGCAGCAGCGAGGGTCAGAGCAGCGATTCCTCCTGCTTCACAGCGCTGATCTCAGCTGGGTTTTGTTCTTGGTAAAGTTCCTGAATGTTCCATCTCCTCTCCAGCCCGTGTGTCTTAAACAAATTTTAAAAGATCGTTAATTGTAAGCTTGTGGTACTTCCAAGAACAGGTGGAAGTCCTTTAGTTAACGTTCTCTACACACGCTAAAACTCAAACTGCTCCATAGCTGTGTATCAGGAGAAACGTAAGGTAAAGTGAAGCTTACCTGGCGGCAGAAGGCTGATGCTTTAATCTCTTAAATACTGGGAAAAGATACAAATCCTAATCTGAATTTCTTCTGACTGGTCTGTTTGCAGGCAGCCCGCTTCTGCGAAGTGGTACGACCGAAGGGACTACGTCTTTATTGAATTTTGCGTTGAAGACAGTAAAGACGTTAATGTAAATTTTGAAAAATCCAAACTTACGTTCAGGTGAGTGTAACTTGGGCCCCACGAAGCTGAAAGGCACAAGGGTGCCCAAAAGCTGTGCTGATGCTGATTAGATTTTATTCTTAAAGATTCTATATTTATTCTATGTTATTGAAGTATATTTGTGCTGTAAGACATTTCCTGCTAAAGATGTGTTTGTTTTCTCTTAACAGTTGTCTTGGAGGAAGTGATAACTTTAAACATTTAAATGAAATCGACCTTTTTAATAATATTGATCCAAATGTGAGTATCCTCTGCATTCTTCTCTTACTGCTGTGTCCAGAGTGCTCAGCTCCTTCTGCTGCACACCACCCACCCTTCTGCAGCAAACTGTGCTGCTCAGGAGGGGTTCGTTGGTTGTTGCTTGACAGGGGGCATCTGAACGGCTTCCAGTTCTGATGATGCTCGCTGTCACCCCCTGTCCATGTGTGCAGGCAGTAAGGGGTGCTACAAAACTGCCCGAGTTACGTTCAGGCAGTCCCAAACAGAACTGGTGCCGCTCCGCCTGGCTCCATTTTGTGATGGTTTGATGTGCAGCGGTGTTCTGACTAAAAGCATACCATTGGGTTTTGAATTTGTATAGATCTGTTCATAACGGGAGTTACTGTGACAAATACTGCATCACCTTACAGCCATCCAAAGGTGCTTCCGTGTATCTGAGTTTAAGCATGTCCTTACAGACTGAGGAACAACTTGTTTGCAGTACTGGTCATAGCTTAAAGAGCAGGCAGTATTTTTGAGTCAAAGAATAAGATGATAGCTTAAAAGAAATGAATCTAATAACAGTGTGTCACCGCAATGTGATTGTTAATACTAACAGATGCTTGCTTTTTTTCCCCCTCTCTTCTTCCAGGAATCAAAGCATAAAAGAACAGACAGATCTATCTTGTGTTGTTTACGAAAAGGAGAATCTGGTCAGGCATGGCCAAGGCTAACGAAAGAGAGGGCGAAGGTGGGTTTAGGCTCTTTGATGGCCAGAGCAGTGGCTGATGTCTCCCCTATTTTATTTTTATTTTGGGTCGTGTTTAAATTACGTAGCAGTTAACGGCTCACTTGCCATGCTCCTGATCAGATCTAAGTGACTTTGAGTAGTAACAGTTCATTTCTTGCTTCTCTTTCAATAACTTCTTGTGTTGATGTACAGCTCAACTGGCTCAGCGTGGATTTCAACAACTGGAAAGACTGGGAAGATGATTCAGATGAAGACATGTCCAATTTTGATCGCTTTTCCGAGGTATAGGAAGATGAATACCTGGAGGATTGGGTTTCCTTTTGGGTGGCATGTGGGCAAAGGGTGACAGCTACAGGGAGTCACGCTCCTTGGCCTGCTCTTCCTCCTGCTTTCTTGGCCGTTGCTCTCAGGGCAAGTTCTGCCAGTTAGCTGAGGCACGGCTCTTGGTTTCCCACTTGGTGCCACCTAGACGATGTTGCTTGGAGCAAAATTAACTTAATTTATAAAAATAATTGATGGTGTCATGGAACATAGCTGGCTGTGTGTGAGTAGCAGCCGTGCTGCACTGGCTTGCTCCAATTTTTTTAATAAGTGGAGTGTGAAGGCTGACTGTACAGGTGTAGAGAGCGCAGTGCTCGCAAACAAGAGCCCAGGACAGGAAAAAACACCTCAGCTCTGGAGCAGACTCCAGCTGCTTGAGCCCATGCTGTGTGAGCTGTTGGCACTGCACTGAGATGGTTGGTGTGTGCTCGTTACCAAATCTGAAATAAATGCTGGTCCCATTGCACGTCTCGGCACTAAATCAGTATAAAGTTTTTTGCCTCTTCACCTGGTAATTTTTGCTTAGGTGCAGCAAGATTTGTCAAAGCAGCAGGTGTCTGTTTACAGCAATTTCAAGCTATTTATAGATTGTTAGCGTTCCCCTAATGATTGGAGTTGGCTCCCCTCCTTATAACGTGGCTATTATCTTTCTTGAACAGATGATGAACAACATGGGTGGAGATGACGACGTAGACCTACCAGAAGTAGATGGGGCAGATGATGTAAGTGCTTTGCAGTAAATGTGTGTAGGGCTGGCTGAGGGCGCTGCATGCTCACTGCTACTTGCTGAGGTTGAAGTTGCATTCCCCACTTCAGCACTGTTAATAGCACAGACTGCCAAACTTTGGATAAGTGACGTAGTCTGGCAAAATCCCCTTGAGTAGCTGGATCGAGGCTTGCAGTGTCCTGGGCAGCTCGGCGTCATACTTTTCTGCAGAGATTATTGGTTATTACAAGTCTGTTTTTTTACTGGAAAAGCTTAACCAAAGCATGTCCTGTAGCCCCTTGAAATACGCTTACTGACAGCCTGCTTGCTACACCGAGCTTTGAAAGTGCCTCCGAGCTCAGTAGGCTCCACTTAACGTTGTTTTTTCTTTCCAGGACTCACCAGACAGTGATGATGAAAGTAAGTTGGCGTTCGTGTTTTTCTGCACCTGTGCAACAGTCTGGGGGCTGGGAGTTGAGGGAGCTGTGCAGAGCCAGCAGATGTGCTGTCCTGTCAGTCTTGCTAAATCCAGGCTGCCAGCTAATGCCAGTGCCTTGCTCCAGCAGCATGAGACGATATAATCTAGTGAAAGCCTTAGCGCTCCGGCACGAAATATTAGTTTGACCTTCCCAGGCTGCTGCAGTCCTGGTGAGGTGTTGGCTGTAACAGCAGCTGTCACCAACACGGAGCTTCAGCGCTCACGGCCTGGTTTGTGCAAGTTCTGCACTCGCACAGCAGGGGCTGCACAGAGATCGGATGTGCAAGGAACCAGCTCCACGCTGAGTGCCAGCAGCAGGGAGGTCAGAGACCCTAAACTGCCTGATGCCTGTCTTGTTCAAGGGCTGTATCTTCTCCTTTGTGTTCCATGTGCTATAATAGGGCTCCTGGGAGCTTTTTTTTTAAAGAAAAAACAAACAAACAAACAAAAAAAAACACCACAAACTAATCTCTTACTTTTTTTTTCTTCCCCTCTAGAAATGCCAGATCTGGAGTAAGAAAAACTGTTGTCTTCAGGGTTTGGGGAAAGAACTTCATCACATTTCATAATTGAGATAAGAATTCCTGAGTTGATAGCCCTAAAGGGAGATATTGCATCCTTTAACCCATTTTCAGTCCATTTTAAATGGCTTCACTGATGGTAGGTGTGTACCATTGTGCGGGGCAGTCTTAAGCCACGAGAGGCAATAATGTTATGCATGAACCGTTTTCCAGACTTCCAAAAACCAATTGAGGTGTAGGCAATCGATACCGAGCAGTTGCAATAAAGTTTACAGAGCCTCCTTGCCTCGTAGCAGATGTAATTCCAACGGGAGAATCCTGAATTTACGTCGAGCGGTAAATTGGCGTTTTCCCCCCCTCTGTGGCCTGCAGGTAGATCCAAAATTTAAGCTTGTACCTGGAACAAAAAACTGGCTGAACCCACCGTTAGCTAATTGGGTCACAAAATGTAACAGGTGATGCGCAATACCTCTGTGGTGTCTTCAGGTGTGTTCCACTAATGTTTTTATTAAAAAGGAAACAAAATTGGCTTTGTTGGGTATTTAATCGCTAGTTGCGTGTTCTGAGGCAGTTCCCAGCCCCCTGCTCTGAGCGCGGGGACCAAGCGGCGCCCGCTGAGGGGAAGGTGGCGGCCGCCAGTGGTTGGCGTGAGCGGCTCGTGGCAGAACGGGACAAAAACAACCTCGGTTTGTGTTCAGAGCAGCGGGGATTTTTTTATTGTCTGCATTCTTTCTAATAAACTGTTGAAGACTCCACGCCTGGCCTGGCCTCCTGCCTCACGGGGCGCTCCAAGATGGCGCCGGGGAGAGGGGGGGGTGGAGGGGGGGGTTGGGGGCGCGAGGCCGCGGTCACCGCGCCCGCCCAAGGACACGGGCGGGGCACGTGCGCTCCGCGCCCGCCTCTTCCGCCCTTCTAGCAGCGCCCAATCAGCGCCGCGCCTCTGCAGAGCGATCGCCGCGCGGCCCAATGGCGCGCAAGCGGAGAGCGGGAGCGACGGCGAGCTCGGCCAATAGGAGCGCGGGCACGGCCTCCGCGGTTTTGCCTCCGCCCAATGAGCGCGCGCGGCGGGCGGTGCCGCGTGGCAGACGCCCCGCCCCTCGGAGGCCTGCGCCGTGCGGGCGGGCGAAGGGGCTCAGTCGGCGCCGCCATGTTGGGGCTCGCGGGTCGCTGCGCCGCCGCCGCCGCCGCCGCCGCCCGGCCGGGGCTGAGCCGCGGGGCCGGGCCGGCCAACGGCCTCCTGCCGCTGCTCCTCAGCCGCGGGGCCGGCCCGGCCGCCGCCACCGGCAGCCGTGAGTGGGGAACCGCCGCGGGGTCACCTTGCGGCCTGCGGGGCCTGTGGGGCCTGCGGGGCGCGGGGCCGTTACCGGGGCGGGGCGGGGGGCGCGTGGGGGCTGCACTGGGCCTCGTGGCGCCGAGCGGGGCTCCGGGGCGCTGCCCCCCCGCCCCCCGGTGCGGCCCCCGCCGACCCGCGCCCCTCTCCCCGCAGGCCGCCGCTATGCGGCCCAGCCCGCCCCCGCCGCCAAGGCCGGCGCCAGCACCGGGCGCATCGTGGCCGTTATCGGTGCTGTGGTGGACGTGCAGTTCGACGAGGGGCTGCCGCCCATCCTGAACGCCCTGGAGGTGCAGGGCAGGGAGACCCGGCTGGTGCTGGAGGTGGCGCAGCACCTGGGTGAGTGGCCGCCCGTTCTGCCCCGGGGGGGGGGGGTGCGGTGTTGGGGGGGCCTCCCGTGATGATGAATTTCGGTGACTTTCGTTCTTCTGAGCTCGCTGAAGCCACGCATTGCAGTCTGAGGAGGAGGAAAATGGCTGCGGGGGGGCTGCGGCCCGCTGCAGCTGAGGGGTGGGTCCGTCCTGGGCTTTTTTTTCGGTGTTTCTTTTGCTCGTTTTGTTCCTTGGCCCCGCTCTTTGCAGTCCTCCCCCCTGCTGACCGCCGCCTTGGCAGGGCTGCGAGGAGATGGCAGCAGCTGTCCTGCAGGGTCAGCTCGAGGGCACTGCGGTAACGCTGTCCTTGGGCCTTGGCAGGGGAGAACACCGTGCGCACGATTGCCATGGACGGGACAGAAGGCCTGGTGAGGGGACAGAAGGTGCTGGACTCCGGCGCGCCCATCCGGATCCCCGTGGGCCCTGAGACCTTGGGCAGGATCATGAATGTCATCGGGGAGCCCATCGACGAGAGGGGGCCCATCACAACGAAACAGTGAGTGGTGCTGCGGGACTGCAGATCAGCGCCACGCAGGGTTTGGAGGTGGGGGGCTCTGGTCCTGGCAGCAGCCAGGCTCGTGCAGTTTTCAAGCGCTCGGAGATGCCCAGGCTGCACGCGGCTGGATCATGCACGTCCCTGCTGCGTTTGTGTTTCAGCTTCTCTCCCTTCTCGCTGCAGGTTTGCTGCTATCCACGCCGAAGCCCCCGAGTTCGTGGAGATGAGCGTCGAGCAGGAGATCCTGGTGACGGGGATCAAGGTGGTGGACCTGCTGGCCCCCTACGCCAAGGGTGGCAAAATCGGTAGGTGGCACCTGGTGGAAAGGGAGTGCCCAGAGAGGGGGGGCCCCGTGCCCACCCCAGGGCTGGGGAGCGGTCCCCGTGCAGCAGCTTCCTTCGCTGATGAGGAACAATTTGACTTTCGTTCTACTGAGCTTGCTGAAGCAACGCTTAATTATCTGAGGAGGAAAAGGGGGGAAGGGAGACCCCCGGGGTGGTTGGATGGGCTCTGGGTTGAGGAGGACCCCCTTTCCCCCCAGGTTTATTCGGAGGTGCTGGCGTCGGCAAGACTGTGCTGATCATGGAGCTGATCAACAACGTGGCCAAAGCTCACGGCGGTTACTCGGTGTTCGCCGGAGTCGGGGAGCGAACCCGGGAGGGCAACGACTTGTACCACGAGATGATCGAGTCCGGGGTCATCAACCTGAAAGACGCCACTTCCAAGGTGCGGGGGGTCTGCAGGGGGCGACGGGGGGTCCCAACGGCACGGTGCCCGTGCTGACGCTGGGTTCTGCCACCCCCCCAGGTCGCCCTGGTCTATGGGCAGATGAACGAGCCCCCGGGTGCCCGCGCCAGAGTGGCTCTGACTGGACTGACGGTGGCCGAGTACTTCAGGGACCAGGAGGGTCAGGACGTGCTGCTCTTCATCGACAACATCTTCCGCTTCACCCAGGCTGGCTCAGAGGTTGGTGCTGGAGCCCAGGCAGCCAGGGGTGGGGGGGGCCAGGCCCAGCCCTGCAGCGGGGCCGAACCCCTCGTTGTGGGCACCACCAGGGCTCTCAGCAGCTCCTTTCCCCCCCCAGGTGTCAGCCCTGCTGGGGAGAATCCCCTCCGCTGTGGGCTACCAGCCCACGCTGGCCACCGACATGGGCACCATGCAGGAGCGGATCACCACCACGCGCAAGGGCTCCATCACCTCGGTGCAGGTAGTGCTGGAGCAGCGTACACTGGGTGGGGGTCACCTCCCCCTGCCCCCAACTCCCTCCCACCGCCCCCTCTGCCCCCCCAGGCCATCTACGTGCCCGCCGATGACTTGACCGACCCCGCCCCTGCCACCACCTTCGCCCACTTGGACGCCACCACCGTACTGTCCCGCGCCATCGCCGAGCTGGGCATCTACCCAGCCGTGGACCCGCTGGATTCCACCTCCCGTATCATGGACCCCAACATCGTGGGGCCCGAGCACTACGACGTGGCCCGGGGCGTGCAGAAGATACTGCAGGTGAGGGGGACGACGGGGCAGCCCCCGCAGGGAGAGGGGGGCTGGGAGGGGGGCTGGGGGGGGGCAGGAAGCCCTGCCCTGGTCGCTCACCACCCCGCTTTGCCTCGCCCCCCAGGACTACAAGTCCCTGCAGGACATCATCGCCATCCTGGGCATGGACGAGCTGTCGGAGGAGGACAAGCTGACGGTGGCGCGGGCGCGCAAGATCCAGCGCTTCTTGTCGCAGCCCTTCCAGGTGGCCGAGGTCTTCACCGGCCACATGGGCAAGCTGGTGCCGCTGAAGGAGACCATCAAGGGCTTCAAGCAGATCCTGGCAGGTGAGGCAACCTCCCCCAGAAGCTCCTGGGGGGGGAGGAGCTGGGCTCTCTGCCTGTTCCCCCCCCCGCTAACGGCTGTGTCCCCCCCCCAGGTGAATACGACCACCTCCCCGAGCAGGCCTTCTACATGGTGGGGCCCATCGAGGAGGCGGTGGCCAAGGCGGAGAAGCTGGCCGAAGAGCACGCGTGAGCAGGGCCGCCCCCCCCCTCCGCCCCCTTCCCCGGCTCCGTGCGGGGCTGGATTCCCCCCCCCAAAAAAAAAGTATTTAAAATTTCCAATAAAACGTTGGTGAAAACAGCCCCGGGGGCCCTGCGTGCCAGGGGGCGTGGGCAGCAGCCCTGTGAGCCCCCTGCCCGGGGTGGCGGCGGGACCGGGCTGCCCTTACCACCTCCCCCCAAACCTGTGGGGGCTTTGTGCCCCCCCCCACCTCATCCTAGTGCCTGGCAGAGCCAAGCTGGGTGCAGGGGGGGCTGGATCCATTGCCCCCAGCCCCACGGGGCCTTTCTGTACCAGGGGGCCCGCAGCAGCTGGGGGTGACCCCCCCGCACCTGGGGCCTTGGAGGGGAGGGGGGGGGAGGCTGGCAGCTGCCTGCAGCGGGGGGGGCCGCCCCCTCCCCACCCCCCCTCCGGCTCCTGCAGCACAAAGAGCTCCCGGCCGGCCCTGCCAGATGGGGCTTTGTCTGTGTGGTCCCGGGGGGGCTGCCCGGGCCCTCCCCGCCGCCGCGGTCACACCCTGCTTGGGGGGGGGGGGGGGGCACCGGGACCTGGCCCGGGGAGCGCAGCTGGGTGCTGGGGGGGGGATCCCTGCGGGGAGGGGCTTACTCAGAGGGGGGGGATGCAGGCGCTGCTTGGAGGTGCTCCCAGCAGCGCCCCCCCCCCCAAGCAAAGCGCTGCGGCCCCTTTAAATGGCGGCGCGTCCCGGGGGGGCGGGGGCGGCCGCTGCCATCACGAGGGGCCGCGGGCACCGGCACCGGGAGCTGGCACCGGCACCGGGCTGGCACCGCCGGGCCCCCTTCACCCCCCCCCCCAGGTACGTGCTGGGCCCCCCCTCGGGCCGGGGCTGCGCTGGGCAGGGCCCCCCGGTGCCCCCCGGTTCCCCTCGGTGCCCCCCCGGTGCCCCCCCGGTGCCGCGTGACGTCAGCGGGAATCCCGGGGGGGGGGGGGATCCCGAGCTTGGGGGGGGCCGGGGGCTGGGGGCCCGGCTGCGGATGGGGGGGGGCGGGGGGGGAGGAGCGGGGGCGGCCCCACGTGGGGGGATTCCCCCCGCCGGGGGCGGGGATCCCCCCCCCCTCCCCACGTGGGTCCTGGCCCCGCCCCCTCCCCCCGGCTGACGCTCGGCGCCGCTCCCCGGTGACGCCACCGCGGCGGCGGTGACGTGGGCGCGGAGGGGGCGGGGCCAGGACCGCCCGGCGGCGCGCGGCGCTTCCTGCCCTGCGCCGCTCGGCTCCGCTCGGCTCGGCTCGGGGCGGCCCCGGCCCGGTCCGGCCCGCGCCATGCGGAGCCGCCTCCCCCCGCCCCGCGCAGCCTGAGCCGGGCCCGGGGCGCCCGCCGGGCCCGCACCGCCGCCTGCCAGGTCCGGGGAGGGGGGGGGGGTGGAAACGGGGCCGGTTGGGGACGGGGGGAAGGGGGGGGGGGGGTGTTGGGGGGGGGAGCGCTCCGCGGCGGCCGGTAACGGGAGGGGGGAGGGGGGGGAGACGGGACCCGGCCCCGGAGCCGTTGGAGCCCCGGGGAGCCCCT